CGTACTATAATCACAAAGGTAAGAGACAGCAGGGAAATGGCTGAGCACCCAAGTTGTCGATCTCTCCCAAAGCACTTGCTCTTTCCACTCTGCATAATATTTGTTGCCCTTACCATCATCACTGTGGACCCCAAACCCTCTTCCAAGTCCTGGTTTAAAACAAAACACCTTTATCCAAGAAATCTGTCGTGCTCACTCACGGGGAAGGTGACACTGGGTAAGCAATCCAGAGAGCACAGAGTGCCTCCCTGGTGGCTTCCCGCAGTGTACTCAAGTGGCCGGCTCCACTGCTCTCCGTCCTACTGCAGACCCGGGCACCTTTCCTGTCTCCCTCCTTTTCTTTCCTTACAGTTCTTAGAGTTCTCCCCATTCCAAACTGAAACTCAGAAGTTTCTTCAGTCCCACTGTGTCACTGAAGCAAGTGAAGATAGGTCCCAACTCCCCTTCTTCACATCAGTTAGGCTTTTAAGCATCTTACAACCAGGAACCAACCCCTGCATCCTAAGACGTGCAATGCTTTGCCAGGCCTAATGTTAGTGCCTGCAATTTATCGGAACACTTCCGCCCAGCTGCAGGAGTAAGGAGAGACAACTTCTGATCTTTCTTCGGGACTCCTCCCACTCTCCCCCACCCCCCAGGGCAGACCTGTCTCAAGATGCAGCTGTGGGGAGAGGAAATGGATAACCCCATCTTTCTCCAGGTTTTAGAATTCTTTTTCCCCATTCCTTATCTCCCTCTCTGGCCTCAAACTCTCACAGCTGTCCTTAATCCTAACTCAGGAACTATTTTATTAACAGTCAACAATTTCCTGAGTAACCACATACCCGTGGCCTCTTCTGACACCCCTACACAACTCAGGCCCTAATATCCCAGCTCCCGTTTTAAATGTGTGAAAAGATGTGTCTTCACCCTTGATCCATTCTCCTAAGTAGCGCAAAACATTTGTACTGTTAAATGTTATCACAGCGATAAAACATCCATTCTCTATCATCAGAGCAGGCAGACTAAATTCGTGTTTCTTACTCCAACAGAACAATTATCCCTGCAATTTACAGAGCTACCTCAGTGCCTGTGCGATGATTTAATAATTCATGTCAACTGTTTAGGACCTGGGCCCTGGGACATGAAGTACTTAAATTTAGCTATCAGCAGATACACATTATCTCTCACAATAGTACCTGGGGGTGGGTATTACATCACACCCTACTCCCCCATTATAGAAACATCAACCCAGCAGCCTCGGAGCAAAGGAGCTTCCCCAAGGTCAGTCGGGCAGGGATGTGATGCGCTCTTTCCTCCTAAGATCCTCTGAAGGAGGGACCCAGCCCATTATCCACAGGACCGGACCGAAGGCGGGGGTCTCAATGGAGACAAGTACGGAAAAGCGGCGAGCGCAGTTCCCTGCACACAGTGGGAATGTGAGGACCGCGGCACCGCGGGCTCGGCTGGATTTTTTCCCCCCCAGCGCCTCCCGGGCCCCGGGCTCGGAGTTCCCCCTCCCGGGAGCTCCAGCGCGTCTGCGAGGCCCGCGCGCCGGCGCTTTGTAC